GTGCATCGATAAGGAGTTGAGTCTAGATTCGACGATTGCTGAAACACTTTCGATGGATCCGACCGATCGGCCCAAATGTGTCTTAGATGTACCAACCTACACAGAACACCCGCTTGTTCAACGTGCGGTGGCAGCCGGTGAGCCGCCCCCACTCCCCCTCGGAATTTATTTAGATGGTATTCGATATAGGATTCGGGCAGCTGGGCGAAGCGACATTGTTCTGGGGATCTGGATGATTAACCTCATTAGTGGAAAGAGGCATCTCTTGACTTCCCTGAGGAATTCGGACGCGTGTGCGTGCGGGTGCCGTGGATGGGACTCGCTGTACCCTCTGCTACTTGCTATGCAGTGGATGCTGCGTGCTATGGTGAACGGATACACGCCGCAGTTGCGGCACGATGGGTCTGCCTGGGAGGAGGGGTCCGAGTTTGCAGAGCCAAAACCTTTGGCAACGAAATCGATGTTGCCGTGGATCAAGGGTGACCTTATGGAGCATGCGAAATCGCTCGGTCTCTCACTATATTCGCAATACTACAGTCCGTGTGCGTTCTGCGAGTGCGTATCTAACGAGATGCATTCATTTTACGACGATATCGCGAGCCCAGACGGCCCCCCCTGGGTACTCCGAGAACACGAACAGCATGAGACTGCGTGCAGGGCGTGCGAACACCGAGTGCAGGTCGATGATGAGAATGATCGACGGTCCCTGATCCGATCGATTAAGTGTTTGAAGGAGAGCAAGGGGCGTGGCCGCACGATCGTGGCGCCCGTAGTTATCAACGGGGTTGCTCTGCAGGTCGGGGACCGATTGGATCCGTCGCCGAACCTCGTCGACCCTGGGAAATTGGGATCAGTAGCTCTTCCGATAACGCTGGTATTATGGAGGCCTTCTATGTCAGCTGCTGGCCTGCCGCTCGATTGCATCACTCACAGGACCCCAGTCTGCCTTACTTGCTTGGGATGGGGGGAGGAGCATGAGCGGAGGAGGGAAGGTGGGCCTGCCTGGGTGGGAATGCCTCGTCGGCACGCGACTGAGTATAGCAGACTCGGGTCCAGGTGTCCATTATTTGATGCAGACGTTCTGATGACTTCCCCAACGAGGACGTTGGCAATCGACAGCTTGCACACTTTGTACCTGGGTCCGTGTTTGCGTTACGTGAGCGCTTGCCTCTGGCGTTGCGCATTGCACAACCCGTGGGGAGACACATCGGGCACTATAGACACAATTGTCACTAACGGTGTCCAGCACATAAGCAACGAGCTCAAAACATGGACCGCCGACAACAAAGATACCATCAATTGCAACATACAAACAATCACTCCTAAGATGCTGGGGGATCGCAAAGGGTTCAACCTCCAGAATCCCAACCACAGCGGGGGGCACATGTCGTTGAAGGCCGCGGAGGCAGGCATGCTAGTGAGGTTTGTGGTTGATCTGTTGGTCAAGCTTGGTGGCCCAGGCAAGTTCGGGCTATCTGTGATATGCGCTGGGCAATCTTTGGTGCGGTACATGAGCGTGATGCGGGAGATTGACGTCGTGCCAACGGATGTACAATACAATGACATGTTGAATGCATCGCAGGTGCATCTTACCTCATGTAGAGCGTGCGGTATTGCTTTCGTCCCACAGCATCACGTGCTCGCGCGCATGACCGTCAGGACGCACGGGCTTCATACTGCCGTTCACTTCGACCCCCCCCCCCCCATCCGTCAGCGGATGCGACCTCTGCCGAGAGCTCTTCTGGGCGCCGAAGTCGTCGAAGTCGACCGCCACCTTGCGCTGCAGGGGGGGCAGGGGGCAAGGCTGTGGTTCCACGGGCCCCCCTCCTCGTCCTCATCATTTTTCCCGCGCCCCCTCATCCTCGCCCTCGCCCCCCCTTCTCCTCCTCCCCCTATCTTCTTTCTTTCCCATCCTCCTCTTCCGCGCGCCCAATCTCGCCTTCCGTTCACGCCTCCATCTCTCTCCTTCCACACCCCCCGCCCCCGCGCCCGTGGACCTCAGCGGCCGGGCAAGCGGGCCGACGTCAGAATGTGGCCAGCTCCACAGGGGGGGGGGGGGCGGGCGGGCGACCGCCAGCCAGCGAGCTGGAGCGGGGCATTCGATGCGGCATTCGACGCGTCGAATGCGCGTCGAAGTGGCGCAACGGGTTTCGCGTTTGCAATCGAAAACGCCGTCGCCACGGCTGGGCGCGACTCGGAAAACAGCGCGGTCAGGCGGTCTGTCCATTCGAGGATCAGATCACACGGGTCGCCGATCAATTACAACAATTTGTTAGATGAGACGTTGGGGATACTCCTGCGAGACATTGCCGTATACGCCCACCGCGCCACGTGCAACCGTCGCTCGTTTAGCCTGCTCGAGCTTCAGAGCCGACTGGAGACAAACCCGCACATGGCAGTTTCTGGTTCTAGCATCCACATCATATCAGGGATATGACTGCCAACATGTGGCTGATCGTGATTGCATGCTTGTCGTGGGCCTCAGGTGCTCCGCCGTTTCACGCCACGGTGAGTTCTGGGCGTGACTACGCGGTTCGGCGCGGGGGCGAGCTGAGACGGTTAGGTGCCCCTGTTCACCTCGCTCGTGCCGCTGGTGCTACGGCCATGAATATTCTCGTGCATGAGGTGAAGCTGATGGCCCCCCCTAGTCACCAGGGGGCTTGCGTTGTTTGAGATGTTCTCAGGCCACGGCGGCTTCTCGTCCCAGGTGTTCTCATTAGGCCATCGCGTCGCTACCTTCGAGCGCAAATCTTGCCCATTGTTCATGGACGCGTGCACGCTGCACGGTGCGATCTACGCGTTGTATTGCATGATGTCCGTCGCCCCCTCTGGCACGTGCCACTTCGCTCCCCAATGCTCGACTTGGTGGATCGGGGCTCGGAGCCACACCCACCGCAACCTCGGCGACGTGGACATTTACGGCGACGACACGCGCCTCGACGTTGCCGAGGCGAACTGGATTATGCTGCTGACGTGGGGAGGGTGGCGGGCAGTGTCCGTTGCGCGATGAGACCATCAAGGGGCACGAGAGGTGTGCGAGTACATATGATGCATATGGAGGGCGGAGGGACGGGGGAGGACGAAAGCGACGACGAATGCGACGAGGACGCGAATACGACGAGGATAAGGAACGACGGGAGGGGAATGAGAGGGATAAGCGTCACCAACGCTCGCCACCCATCGCCCACCTTGCTCTCATCATCCTTCGTTGCTCACCCCTCGTCATCATTATCCTCTTTCGTGTCCTCGCCCGCCTCGCCCCCCCCCCCCCCGCCCCGCCCGCCCCCTCACCCTCGCCCCGCGACCCCCCGCAATGAACTTCCGCGTCGTCCGTGCCCTGAGTAAGGGGTGGAAGGGGAGGTGCTACATGATGACCGTTGCCTGCATGAGGGGCATTTTCGTTAGCCTTGAGCAGCCGCGCGCCTCCATGTTAATGGACACGCCGCAGTTTATGTTTGCTGCGAGTCTCGCGGGCGCAAGCCCAGTCACAACGTTTCTTGGTGCGTTCGGTGCGCCCTCCCCTAAGCCAGTGCAGATTTGGACCAACGGTCCAGGTTCAGATGTATTTAAGCGGTCTAAGAAAGCCTCGGATCGGCGATTGGGCGCTCTCAAAGTGAAGCTCGCTGTCGACCAGAATCGCCGCACTGTGTCGAAGCGCGCCGACGGCAGCAGCAAGGGCTGGAAAGCCGATAAGTGGATCGGTGGGAAGAAGAGCCGCCAGGGCCCGAGCGAGCAATACCCCCTTGAGTTTTGCCACGCGATGGCCCTCGCTTTACTTAGTCGTGTGTCGGATGCTTCAAAGGCTGCGTCATCAGTGGCTTAGATGTTGGATTGCGTGCTGCCCATCTTTGCGTGGTCGCCACGGTGCCAATCGCGCTAGTTTGACAGCGCACGGCGCCGCGCTATCTTCCGAAGAAGGGGTGGTCGTGACCAGCAGGGAAGCCGGATGCAAGAGGGGGCGGGGGACGAGCATCGAACCGCGTCGACTTAGGCGCAGAATCGACGCGTCGAACGGACGTCGAATCGATCGGGCGAGTGCGCGCTGAACTGATCGGGGACGGGGCAGACGGTGCGGCATGATATGGGGGGCATGGGAAGTACCACTGCTAGCTGCTGCACAATTTGCGGAAATGGCGCTGGGCGCCCTGTTGGTTTCAACCTGCAGCCCGTGTGCAAACATGCGCTGCATCCGCCCGACCTCGCGCGTCGCTGAGAAAGAGCGTGTCGACCGCGGGCCTGGGGGGACTGGTGGCTTCCCCGACAGCATCGGCGATGCATCAACCGTGCGCGCGCGACAAATCGAACTGGCGCTGGGAAGCGTCGCAGATGCATCGGCGATGCGCGCGTCAATCTAATATGCTACCCGCTTCGTCCTCTCTCCATTCACCGCGCCCCCCCCCCCTCCTCCCTCCCCCGCTTACCCCTTCCATTCCCCATCTCCCGCTCCCCCTACACCGTCTCCTCATCCCACCTCCCTCACATCAAATTGGGGCAAGGAGCCTCGGCTCCCGCGCATGCACGGCTGCCGCCGCGCCATCGCTGCCATGCGCGAGGGCAGATGGAGGTTGATCTCCCGCGCGGGGGTCGTCGCACTCGCCTTCCCGCTTCGAGGGGAGGTCGACAGCGACGTCCGCCGCGCGCGAGGTCGACTTCCCTCTCCCTCGATGGCGCGCAGAAGAACCCACGCGCTCGACGGGGCTGGGAGTCCGCCAGCGAGCCGAGCCGAGCTCTCGACAGTCGCGCCAGCGAGTTGAGCCGGAACGAGAGGGGCGGGAAATGCGACAACCAGCAGGATGCAGAGGCGGGGGGGGGGATGGGGGAGGGCGAGGAGCAGGATGATAGGGGGGGGGAGGATGAGGAGGAGAAACCAATCGACGCAGTTATCTTATCCAAACGAGCTTTCGAGCAAGCTGGCCCGCGTGGCTGTTTAGGCTCATTTTTTCGAGTCATCGCTTGCCAGTGCAGCTTCTGAGGCATCGTTGGCCCGTGCAGCAAAGGAGATGGCTATTGCCCTGGTCAGCGATTCGCAGATCCACCAGATGAAGGAGGTGACAGCCTACTTTGCTGAGGTGAAGCTGGGCGACAAGGAGGGCCCCTGGCACGCATTCTGGGCGCAGAAGGGCACGAACACCGACTTCGAGGACGCGTGCGAGATCAAGGAGATCAAGCACAGGATCGAGGAGACAATGACGATCTATCGCAACCAAACCATCGGCATCTACCACGCGCAGGGCCAGAAGGATGGTAAACCTGCACTTCCCAGGGGCGGCCTCTACGGCGACCGCTACTGCGTGTACAGCGACTAACTCTACGTGACCATTAAGACGCCAGAGGAGATCGCCGAGTTCCAGAAGAATCATCCCAAGGACCTCAGCTCCGACAGCTTAAACGACGAAAACGACGACGACGACGCTGACAATTCCGAGTCATTCAACGTGGCCGTCTACGTGATGGACCTCAGGCGCGGCTCCAAGCACCAGGTCATCAAGCTGTGCAGGTTTGTGCATGGTGCCTATGGCGGTAAGCTGCCTACCCCAGTGCGCTTCCTGAAGCAGATGCCCCTTGGCAAGCTCGGGTTCGAACCAACTCGCGACAAGGTCCGCGACGTGAAGCTCTGGTAGGGCAGCGAGGGAGACTACTTGGCAGATCGCCCAGTCTGCCCGAACTCTGAGGTCGTGCAGCCCAAGACGAACTACATCGCGCGTCTCAACCTGGAGGGCGGCTCAACCTCTGCCGACCGCAAGTGTTGAGGCCGTGGTTAAGGGTCAGCGCTGGGGAGTTCAGGGGTCCAAAAAGCGCCGCCGAAACGAGTGGGGATGTCGCGGCCGCAGCCATCTTACGTCGCGCGAATATTCATACACGCCACAGGCAAAACATATCATAAATATGCATGCCTCCGACATTAAGACCCCAGACGCCTTGAGATGGCCCCACGACGCGGTGGGAACATAATGCTCACTTACGAAGTACGTTCGGCAACTCGCAACGCAACCTCACGCCACGACGAAACATAGATCAGGCCGATATCCGTCCCGCGCACAGGCGCTACAACGCCTCGCCGCGCCCCCGTCAGACGCCTGCGACGAAGCCTGGGGCAAAATTGCCGACGCCCACCCAGGAACGCGACAATCTACGTTATCCGACAATCGCCTGATGCGCCCAAACAGCCGCCGAAAAAACCTCGTCGAGGCAAATCTCGAGCGCGAATCGCCGCCGCTGAAGCCCAGACCATGCAACGTCAAGAAGCCTCTGAGGCAACACCGATTCGGAATGCGAGACTGTGACCCCCAAACATCTAGCGTTTGCGCTACCACGCGATCAAGTGCACGTGGCTGTGCTTAGGATGAGGGGGAGGAGATGAGGGACGAATGGGGGTTGGCAGTTGGGTTTGGAGGACGTGGGGCGGCTGAGCGAGGAGGGGCATGCGATGGTTGATGCGGAGGCGCTGATGAGGGGGGCGGACAGACAACGCAAGCAAGGATAAGTAATAGCGGGCGAGTGGGACAGGAACCGCAAACTAGGCGTACCACGATTCGTGTAAAGGGTACGGCGGCAGTGATGCGGCTCCTCCGTGTCTTGCTTCTCCCCCTGCCCCTCCACTTCTTCCTCCTCCTCCTACTCCTCCTCCCCATCCCCCCTCTCCTCCTCGTCTCCCTTTTCCTCCTCCTCCTCCTCTTCCTCCCCCTCCTTCTCGCGGGGGGGTGGTGCCCAACCGTCAGTGGCATCATGCCAGAGCGGACAACCTCGCCGTCGGCCACGCTGGGACGAGCATGGGCGGGGATGGGGGCTCAAGAGGCCACGAGCACAAACCCGACGTGCGATCATGTTTCTCCAGTTCGCAGGTGCGCAGGCTGCGCACCTGACGAATAACCCCACGGCCAGGCGCGCGTCAAACGGCCTGGGCGGCCCGCATGCTGCCTGCGCCCCGCAGCGGCAGCAGGCTCCAGAAAAAAAGGGAAGCCACGCACTGCGTGGAGACGGCGCCCAAAGTGAAGGTAATCCCCCAAACCTATCCGAACCGTTCACTCGAGACCTGCACCGAAAGGGCACATGAGCCCGTCGCTGATGCTTGAGATTTTTATTGGGCTGGGCGCGCGTCCCCCGCATAATTATTGCCGAGAGGTGCACGCGCGGCGGGACATCGACGAGAAACGATGAAGCTTCGGCTCGAGCAGAACCGATGCCTGTGGCATCCGCGCTGCCCGAGCCCCCGCCCTTTCGTTTTTCGCCCATGTCCCGCCGCTGCCCTTGCTGCGGCGAAAACGGAGGGGGCGCGGGCGGCGCCCTCGCGCCCGCGCCCACGTCGCAAGCGCGACGCGCCACGACGGCGACGGCGCCCGTCGATCGCCGTCGCCTCACTGGGAGCCCAATCGACGACCAACATCGGGCAGCAAGAATCCGCGAGACCCAGGGCTGACCAAAGTAGGCAAGGGGGCGGGGGCTGGAGCCCGAGCGGGCCAGCGGCGGCAGCGCTCGATGAGGCACCCCCCCCTCGACGGAGGGAGGGAGCGAGTGGGGGGGAGGGGGATGGAGGCGGGGGGCAGAAGGGGGGAGGGGCGCAAGAGGAAGGAGGGCGGAGGAGAGCGCCTGGAGGAGAGAGGAGGACGCGCGGGGGGGGAGGAGGCGCGACGACGGAGGAGGTCCGACGGCCAGACGACGATGTTGGAGGACGACTCCGAAAGCCCGGCCTGCTCCACAGAGCGCCGCCGCCCCCCCCCCACGCGACCCCGCTTCCCCTGGAGGAACCCCCGCCAACATCAGATGATAAGATCCCCCGTGAAAAGGACCCCCGAGAGGACCCCTCCCCTTGAAGAGATCCCCGCCCTTTCTGGGCGCCCTTTCGGGCGCACCCTGAAAGGGTCGCCTGAAAGGGCACCCAGAAAAGATCCCCCCTGAGAGGATCCTTGAGAGGGCCCCCTGAGAGGATCCCCACTCCGCGCCAGCTTAGCCCGTCTACTTCCAATCCTTCTGCGGCCAGGCCAGACGGCGAGGGGGGGGGAGCGGGGTCGCCTCGCCGCCAGGCGGTTCAAAGGCTGCGCCGGTGCTGGCCCTAGTCCTCAATCACGTCCTCATCGCCCTTCTTCTCGGGCTCGCCGCCCGCCTGCTCGCCCTGATTCGCGGCCGCCGCCTCGATCTTGTCGCGCCACTCCCTCAGGGGCACCTGCAAGGCCTTCATCGTCTTCGGGTGGTACGGCATCGACCTCGCCATCAAGCCTGCCACGGCTGAACAGGCGGCCGTGCACGCAATGGGGTCGTTCACGCAATCGATGACGGGGCGCATGGTGTAGTGCAACCATCCCTGGGGCAACTCGTCGGCCCCCTCGTCCACCGCGAACTCCTTCGAGTTGTCATCCCACTCACTCACGCCGAAAATGATCAGCCAGGTGCCGAATGGCACGTACAAGGAATCACCAGCATTCAATACAAACTTCGGCACCTTCTTCAATATCACCAAGGCGTCTGCCGAATTCAAGAACACCTTCATGTCGTTGCCGCCGAGCTTCTGGACGTCCTCCACGGGGACGGCGAGTGCGACTGCGATGCCGTTCCCAACGGTGACGTAACATGCCGCACCAGCGAAAGGGCAAGCCTGCGGCGTGAACGACACGGAAAACGGCTTCTGGAAGAACGCGAGCAAAGGAAAAGTCGTGGAGTCGCCAGGGTGCGTGCTGCTGCCGTCTGCGTCAGCGGAGTGCTTGAACTCGAACGTGCTCTTCATGGGGCCGAAGCCGACCGTGCCTTTCATTTTCTTGATGTAGTCGACGTTGCTCGTGGCAGATGACTCGAGCTCGCTCTTGACAGCCTTGTGCTGGTCCTGCAACATGACATGCCACTTCGACAGCTGGTCGGGCTTCTTCGCGACAACGCCGAAGGTCGACACTTCTCCGAAGTTTAAGGAATCCCCGCACTCGCCGTTGTCGCCGAGCGAAGAGTATGACACGCCGACCTCCTTTTCCACGAGCACGGGGGAGATGACCTTCGCGATGGACTGGGGAATCCCCTTCTCGTGCATCCTGTTCGCCGCCTTCTCCTTGACGCCTCGGATCTGACGGCGCTCTTTGTGGCTCTTCTTCCTCTCCCCCGCGCGAATGGTCTGCAGTGTCTGGATGTAGTCCTTGACGAGATTGATCTTCTTGGAGTGCGCGGCCATGGCCAAGGAGATGGAATCCCGCTTGGCGGAGAAGTCACACGGCAGCGCCCAGTGCGAGACATCGTCCAAGATCTTCTGCAAGTCGTGTTCGGCGACCTTCGCCGACGAGATCACCGAGTCCACGCCGAGGCACTTGACCTCAGTGTGATCCCTGACCTCCTCGAGGAGCTCCTGGAGGACCGCGATGTGCGTGACCTTGCCAGCCTCGTGGCGAACGGGCGGGCGATCGACGGTCGACATTCGACGTGGCGAGCGGGGCAGCCGATGACAGCTGGGATGGTTGGCAAGGTAAAGGAGGAGGCGGGTGGCAATGCAGAGAAAAGAAGAGGAGGATGAGGAGGAATAACTGCAGCCTTGCACGAATCCAAGTAGCTCTCGAGGGTTCGCTTGACCGACCGCTTCGCAACAGTGAAAATGCTGGGCGAGACGGAGTCGGGATCGATCGAGGGCAGGGCTTCCTCTACTGTGTCGGCGTTCTCCACTTGCTGCTTCAGCGCTGCCTGGCCGTCCTTAGCCGGCTTGCTGGAGCGGCTGCTGGCACGCGCTCGGGGCGACAACGGTGCCTTGGAGCCCTTGTGAGAGGCAGCTGCACGCCCGCCATCGCACCGACCAGGCTCCACCAACTCCGCCTCGCCGTCGGTCTCCGAATGGATGCTGGGGCCGTCGCTCGCAGAACCGTCGTCGCCAGAGTCGATGAACTTGGCGGCGCCCTTCTTGCCCGAGCTGGACGGGAGCAACTTGGCCATGGGGCGCCGCAGCATGGACTCCGCCATGTTCTTCTGGACGCCGCGCACCCCCGACTTGAACCTCTGGGTGTCCTTCAGCACGTCCTCCCTGTCGATCTCTGTCGGCTTCCGGACAGCCACGACCGTCGCGCCGTTCTCCTGGAGCGGCAACGGCGAAGCGCGGGGGCGCAGCAGGGGGGGCCAGGGATACCCAGAGAGCGCAGGGTAGTTCCAAGGACGCCCCAGGAGAGCCCGAGCTCCAGCACCCCACCCACAGAAACGAACGCACACAGACAAGAAACATCGCACGCTCAACCGTGCATGTAGCGCCACCTTCGAGGCTCTCCCTGGGAACAGCCTAGGGGCCCTCTGAGGGGCGTCGCGAGGCCCTCGGAAAAGCCTAAGGGGCACCCGAGATGCCATCATATAGAGCCCCAAGAGGCCCCAACATAAGTAACGAAGAGGATGGCAAAGGGGAACGCGAGGACGATGAGGAGGACGAAAAGGAGGAGGAAGAGGAGAATGATGAGAGAGAAAAAAAGGATCACGATGCGCAGGAAGAGGAGGAGACGGAGGACTGACGAGGAGCAGGAGGAAGCATGACGAGCGGGATAAGGAGGCGGGGGATGTGAAGACATGAGGGCCTGGACGAGGTCGAGGAGGATGGGCATGCACGTAGGAGAAGACTGGTGGGCAGGGGAGGACTGGGAAGACGAAAGAAGAAATCCGAAGGTCATGGCCCACC